CCAGCTCCAACAGAGGGAGCTCCAGCACCTGCAGAAGACGCCCCAGTACCTGCAGAAGGCGCCCCAGCGCCTGCAGAAGGCGCTCCTGCGCCTGCAGAGGGCGCTCCTGCGCCTACAGATGGCGCTGCTCCGCCGGCAGAAGGTGCACCACCAGCAGAGGGTGCGCCCGCCCCTTCCGAAGGTTCTGCACCTCCACCAGAAGGAGCACCGCCGGCAGAAGCCGCACCCGCGGCTGACGCCCTTGCTCCAGTAGACGGCGCCCCAGTTGCGGCTGAAGCAACACCAGCGGCACCCGTAGAAGCTCCACCAGCCGAAGTACCCGCTGCTGAGTCAGCGCCACCGGCAGCAGCGACGGAAGCGGCTCCAGAGCCTGCTCCACCATTAGCGTCACCTCCCATTATCCAAGGTAAATATAAGTATCCTTTGAATATTGAAAATTCATTTGCTGGAATATTTCAATTATTTCGTTATTTGATACTTCGTTATTAGGTTGTTTAAACTAAAAGATTTGAAGAAGAAAATGGTGCACAAATTTTGTCCACGGGTAATGTTTGAGAACTTTTTAATTTTATCTACGATCGTGTGAAAGTGACAGTTTTTTTTATGTAATTTCCAATGAAAAAATTGAGTTTTATATGTGACTATAAGATATAAGCTTTCATTGCCCGATATCAGTTGAAGGAAGTAAAAACATAAGTATTTTATCCATGGTCTTGTTGAATACATTTAAGTAAAAATTAGAACATTTTTAAGTAAACGCAAACTATACAGGATGATCCGAAATTTTGAGATAAAGTCATTGAGTATACTAGAATAAAAAAGAAAAATAGATGGACGAACCATTAACATGTGTAAGATGATATGAAATTTTAAAATCAAATAATTCTTTATGCTAATGTGATATTTATAAAAATCTATATAATTCTACAGATATTTATGAAAGATTCACCATTCACGAAAATTTGTACAATTTAAGATAAAAGTTGTAATACATATCTGTAAATCTATCTATATTGCACTCAAGCAACTTTTAGCAATACTATCAACTAAATCATTGGTGCAATAAGGATTGACGTTTTGCAATTAATTGTATCTTAAATAATCACAAATATCTTCTTTTCAGCTACTGCCTGAATAGAGTGATAAGACAAAGACCTCCTAAAAGATCTGTGTAATTGTTCCAATACTTTTATTATTTTTGTTTTATGTATTTAATTTATTAATTTTAAACTCAACCATTTCATTCAGTTTGAATACTAGTTGTACATGAATTATTTTTAAAAAATAAATGTTTTTTATTGTCTGTTTACTTATTTACCGACTTAACTGCAAGATATGCCTTAAAAAATTATTTCAACGCAACTTGGCTATCTATCATCACCTTATGTGCCTGTCACGTAGTTGCTATAGAATTTTTAAAATCAATAACGGTAATGCTTCTATTCTACTGTCTAGATAACTTCAAATTCGTGAGATAAGGTCTTCATAGTAATGATTTGCAAATTATAATACGTATTTTAGAAATTTCGTAGCAATACCATTTGAGGATATTGTTATTAGCAATTGACAATTAGTAAATATTAACAAAAATGTTTCACATTTGAAGACGTCACTTTTTGCAATATTCTACACGCAATATTGTTATGAAAATTTCATACCTCTATATTGTAGCCAATCAAACAATTATTTTCTTTATTTTTTGAATATTTCGGGGCCTGTGAAAAATTTAAATTAATGAAATAAACCTTTGCGCCAAAAGGATAGTATATAAATATATGAAAATAGTTTTGTTTAACTAAAAATCTCACACATGACACATCAGATACGAAAAAAAAATAAGTAAATGATCTGTTTACTCACCTCTTGTGGCTAATCTTTGAGTAATGATACATACTAGAATTCTCTGCTACGGCATTTAAAATTTCTCACTCTCTGAGTTTAGTCCCATCCAACATTAGTGTATTTGCGTTCAAAGTTGCCATAAATCGAAAATGTTGAACCAATCTTACAAACATTTTGTTATTGTCGGTCGGTTTTCTTGCAACAGCATCGTTTTCTCCTGACAAGTAGTAGCCTCTAACCATATTAACTCTTTCTCGATTCGTATACTTACATGTATTTTTAGAATATCGCACAGGAGCTTAAAAATTAAAACACAAAAATACACTATACCGTTACTAAACACTGAAATAAATAAATAAGGTTTACACTTACACTACACAGACATCTCACAAACACCTTCTCGTAAACCGAAATTGTGATAATTAATGGTGTAATTAAATGATGGTGATAATTAAATAATTCCCATTTCACCGAATTAAAGTAGTATTTTAAGCGTTTACCATCACGTCATATTATACCAGGTGCGAAGATAATTGGCAGTTTAACTGAACAGCGGAGGCTAACCTTCTCAGAGGATCTGATTTTGCTTAAATTTAAACTGCTACGATTTAATTTTGTTGACATTTTGTATTAATTTAATATGTCTAGTACTGACTGACTGCTGAAGTGTCCGAATAAAAAAGTATTAGAAACATACAGGGTGGCCAAATAAAAACGAAACAGAGCCATTTTCAGGAACTGCGTCAAGATTGTAGAAAAACGCTCAGACCCGTCGATTTTATATTAAAGGGGGACATTCTTTGCTGGTATTTTTGACTCCGCCACTTTCACCCCCAAGCAAGGGTAAGCATCACCCCAAAATATTTAAATGGCATTGTGGATTGAGTAATATTTCTTTTAAAAGCTCTTACAATTCTCTTTGCAACAGACTTTAAATTTTATAATTCCGCCCAATACTTAATAAGAATTTTGATTTTAAAGTTGAAACTTATGTACAAACAATTAGTAACGGTAAAAATGTCAGTCATTCGAGTTAAGTACGCCAATGGTATAAATTTAGTATTTCTTGCGTTACATTGGTTTTTGGCGATTTGTTATCACTTTCGTAAAAAAAAACAATTGTAAAAAACAGAAATGAATGCTATACACACACAATGAACGTAAAATTAGTGGATTCCAAATTATTTTCTAGTATTATTTGGAAGCGTTGGTTGGTAGTTTATTTAATTGTGTTTTTGAAAATTAAACACTATGGTTTATTCCATTGCGGAAAGGGTAGATATCATTTCGCTTTACTTTATGAACAATAAATGTGCGAATAGAACAGCTCAGCTATTTAATGAACAACATCAAGATCGACATGTCAGGAGGAAGTATGTTCTAGAGTTAGTAAAAAAATTTCAAGAGACAGGGAACGTAGCCAATAAAAAACGAGAAATTGAAAAACCTATAGTTAATGAAGCTAGTGAAGTTGCAGTTTTGGGACAAGTTCATCTTGATCCTACATTAAGTACGAGGCAGCTGGCATCTGTGTCTGGGATCAATCGAACTAGCATACAAACCATTTTGAAGAAGAATAAATTCCATCCATACAAAATACATTTAGTCCAGGAACTTCATGAGGATGATTATGACCGCCGTTTGCAATTTTGCGAAATAATGAGTGAGCGAGCAGGGAACGATCCACAGTTCCTTTTTAACATCTGTTTTTCTGATGAATGCAGTTTTTTCTTGAACGGGACGGTAAATCGTCACAATTGCCGCTATTGGTCCGATTCAAACCCAAGAGTTTTTCACGAGGTGCATACACAGCAACCGGAAAAATTAAATGTATGGGCTGGAATTTTCGGTGACCGGCTGGTGGGTCCTTTTTTTCTACCTGGTAATTTGACTGGCCAAATGTATTTGCAATTACTGGAAGACGCTATTGACCCTGCCTTGACTGATATTATTGAAAATGTTTCAGAGTATGATGAAGATCATTTGATTTTTCAACAGGACAGTGCTCCTCCTCATTATGCGTTAATTGTTCGTCAGTATTTGGACCAACGTTTTCTACGGAATTGGATTCACCGGACTTATGGCCTCTTGATTTCTTTTTGTGGGGATACCTAAAAAGTAAAATCTATAAAACACAACCAGCGTCGTTGGAAGATTTGTGTCAATGAATCGTCGACGAATGCCGTCGAATCACTCTGGAAATGCTTCGGAATGTACGCGAACGTTTCGAATAAAATCTTTATTCTTGTATGGATGCGGGCGGTCATCAGTTTGAACAATTAATAAACTAAGTAGTAAGTAAGCAACTAAACATAATTTAAATTTTAAAATGTAAATTTTTTCAAAGTATTGGGCCGAATTATAAAATTTAAAGTCTGATGTAAAGAGAAATTGTAAGAGCTTTCAAAAGAAATATTACTCAACCCCCAATGCCATTTAAATATTTTGGGCTGAACGTTTTTCTATAATCTTGCCGCAATTCCTGAAAATGGCTCTGTTTCGTTTTCATTTGGCCACCCTGTATACTCGTACAACATAAAACCGTATTTTGTTTAGAATTCTATATGTTTTTAATATTACTTGCTTTAACTTTCTAAATGGGTCCCTATCTACCTTACATAGTAACAGTGGTACATATAGTTCAGGTCAAGGAAATTCCAAAATGAAACTATTTTCAAACTGTTTTACAAATATTTTATAAATACTGCAGTTTCTGCTTTCGATACTTCAAAATGCAAATATTCTTCATCATTTGTTCACAATTCAATTCACTTTCCAATTCATTCACACTTGAAACTCCATTTTTCTTCTATGTAAACATTTGGAGACAGTTTTCGAAAAAATAGTATTTTTTCGCATTCTCGATTTTTTTTTTCTTGTTGTTGAATACAACAGCGATACTTCACAATATTAAATAAAAAAATAATTATATATTTCCGTTTCTGAATTTTGTTATTTAAACTTTAAGTCAGCATTTTCGATCCTTTCTGGCGGAACAAAAGAAAAACTTTTACTAATTATCAACCTACCCCTGTATGTCCGTGAATTAAAGGCGCGAACAAAGTCGAATTGCGGAATCATGTCAATTGTATGTATACAAACTCACGTGGGCCACACCACGCGGTCCCCCAAAGATAAACGTCAGTGTATTACTCAACACGGCCGCGAGTAGACCGCTTCCTGCGTGTAAAAATTGTATTCATCGCCGCTGTGACATTGAATTCTTTATTTATATTATTTTTATTCATCACTCATCACCCCACGCCTCCATCGATCAGGACAGTTTCAGGATATTATGTTCAAAAATTAGGAAGGAAGAATTCCCCACATTGTCAAAAGGTAAGAACAAGCATTGTTTAAATTATTTTGCATATTGACGTTTGTTTTAACGATGCTTACTTCGATCGAGCAGTGTAGGAACAGAAGAAGGTCGCCCGCCTGTATTTCAGATCCGCAAAATGTTTAGAACATGAAGGAAATTAAAATTCATTCCAATAACGTTCATAAATCCTCATCGAATTAAGTTTAACGCCTTTAAAGTAACGTAAAAATAGCAGAGGTTGCGGTTCCAAAACTGGATTGGTTTCTTGTACGAAAACCGCGTCTGTTTTGTCTCTACCAAGGGCATATGTCAGTGATATCTGAGATCAATAGATAATAACATATTCCCACAACGCCAACTACTACAAATATTCTGATCCAAATTATTTTACCGTTTAAACCAACATGAAGAAAATAACCTCTTCTTGATGAAATAATACGTGTTATTTTTCAAGATAGAACTGCTTACAGAATTTTCTTCTGTCGTTTACTGATGGATGCAATTAACATACTGCATTGAATATACTCAACAGTGTCAGTTTACAAGTATGATGTCATAATTTCAATATTTTATAAGCGAAATGCTAATAATGTTTATCACAGCATAATTGTAAACATTTGCTGTACGAATTTGAAATTCTAAGAAACAAATACACTGTTTTATATGAAAATACGAGTGTATCTTCTCACAGTTTGTTAACAAATAATTTTCAAGAATCCGATTTTACCCAATCCAGATAAAATTAGAATTTCAAAGCAATACATTTGCAACTAATTGTCGAAATATTGTCCAAAATAATTAAAACGAAAAAATTATTGAAGACTCCTAAATATACAAAAAATGTTAAGTACATATTTTCCCAAATAAATCACTTTTAAGATAAACAATTTTTAAATAGATTGATCCCATTCTAATTACGAATGGAATAATGAATACTAAATTACTCCAATTTCCAGAAATGTATTCCCCACACGCTTATGCCCGAGCACATCGTCCTTCCAATTTGCGGATTTATGTTTCAGTTCTAGGGATTTTTGAGTTAAAAAAAGTCAAAACTGTTATTTATGTTTTTAAATACTGCATAAAGGTATCCTCAAATTCTTCTTTAAATTTTTTATTGATTAGAGCTTTTTTATCCCTAATGTAACTGTCTTAAAAATTGTTTGCAGAATCACACGAGTCTCCAAGTGCAATCCATTTCAATAAGTTGTTCATTACGCTATCCATATTGTGCCTTTTGCTTCTTTCGTTATACAGGATACTTGATATCTCTAAACATCCGGCAATACTAACTTCTTAGAAGCAATCAGTGGTGCACCTCCCAATTACCGATGATTTTTGGTACCACAACTCTTGGTTATGATTATTCTAGGAAATTAGTAAGGTCAATCGCAGACTTTCCCAAGTTTCAGAGGCAGTACGTGGAATTATAGAATTCAAATTCTCAAGTCATTGTTGAAATTAATCTTAAATATATCAACTAGAATTTGTCTCTGGCGTTTGATTAACGTTGGTTCAATATTGACTTAATATTAAACTAACAATAAGTACAGCAAAATTTCATTTATCAAATGAAGTTTTATTATAAATATTTGGAGAAGACCAAACAAATCTCCGTGTGTAGACGGTTATATAAACATGAATTATCCAATATTCACATATCAATTTTTATATTTTTATCTGAAAGGTATTATACTAATTTCGTCACTGTTCGATAGATAACGATGTAAATATTAATTTTTATTATACGGTTTATCTACCCAAGCTTATAAAAATGTACGGTGAATTAAAATATGAGTTATTTTTGATTCAAGAAAATTCTAGAAATATTTATGGAGGCAATAAATAATAGATTTCAGATTCCACGGCATAAAATTGCAGTAAATATTTAAGAATTAGAACATCTACCATTTTTATATATTTCTTAGTCATTTAACGGGGTTTTGAATATTGCAAATGAAATAATTCATTAAAATGAGTTGTAGAATTTTTTTCTTAATATAAAAAACTGTATGTCGCAGTAACTCTCTCAAACTGGGACACGTAGGAAAGGTCTTAAATAGATCATGACCCAGTCCCAGTCATAATGCGTCTGCTTTTTTAACCATCCACACCTATTTTATACATCATTTTAATTATGTAGAAGAGCTCTAGTACATAATGTAACAACCACAATTAAAAATACTTCATAATAGCATGATGTAATAGAAAACAGAAACAGGTGTGTTACTTTATAAAAAAGTCTTCAACATAGTCTTTAATTACATTTAACTGCTAGGGCACAGATCATTTTCATTCAATTCAGTAATTCATATATCTACACAAAAATCCAGTTTTCTTACAAATTAGTTCATCATTACATTAAATTATCAGTAAATGATGGTCATCATTAAATTTCTTCTTCTTGAAGAATTCTATTCCGAAAGAATTTCATGTTTCCTGGAGCCTAACAAATAGAGTATAAAGGTCATTTTTCCTTTTAGTGTTATAAGAATGCAAATTGTTTGTAACATAAAGAAGACACCGACACTTTTTTTATAAATATAATAAGTATGACGATACCTACCACGATAGCTAAGAAGACATACGTGGTCTGCTCAGAAAATAACCGAACTTTTTGAATTACCCGCAAATGGAGATATTTAGTGATATGCGATTGGCAGCATTGCTTTGTGCATAACCTCCTCCGTAACCACATGTTCTTGGATTGTTGATATTGTTATTTGAATGCAACGTGTTTAAGTGTTAGGGAAACTGGAGAAACAAGCCTACGGAGATGATGCTTTAGGTCGTACGCAATTGTTTTCACGATTTAAAAGTGGTCATCAGTCAATTGAAGATGATCCTCGACCAGGAATGCTTTCGACTTCAACTGATGATTCTCATGTTCAGAAAGTCAAAGATCTGATGCGTGCAAATCGCCGATTGACTGTCAGAGAAATTGAAGAAGAGGTTAGCATCTCAATTTGATCATGCCATGAAATTTTAACTGAAAAATTCAACATGCATCGACTTGCAGCAAAATTTGGTCCTCGTTTGATGACCTACCAACACAAAGAAAATCATGTGAACGGTTGTCGGCAACTCCTTGACTAATTCAATGACGATGAAACATTCATTCAAAGGATCATAACGGGAGATGACGACATTGAGGCAAAACTTTAATCATCACAATGGATTGGCAAAGGATCTCAACAGGGCGTTTTACAACGGTTACATGAAAAAATCCACAAAAAGAGACTAAAGTTGTGGTGAGACAACTCATGGTTTCTTCACCACGGCAATGCGCCAGCATACTCAGTTTTGTCAATTCGTCAGTTCTGTGTGACACCAAAGCAAATTTGTCAGAGACTTTAAAGGCCATCTCAAATGAAGCTATCCAGGACGGCTTCGCGAAATGGAAACACCTTGGTAAAAGTGTGTGAATAGGAGATGGGAATACCTTGGAGGAGGAGACAAGTATCAATAATGTATAAAATTAATACTAAAGTTTAAAAAATTAAAGTTTGGTTATTTTCTGAATAGACCTCGTATAAACCCTAAGAAACTTGACATAGTCAGGATTACTTACGTCATTCAAGTTTTGAAAACTGAAAATCATTGCTTCAGCCTTGTACATGAGAATGACATTTTCTCATAAATTTACAAATAAAATAGCAAAGAATTCTGTTTTAAAAGATCGTTAAATCTATTTTTATTTTATTTTTTCTTAATCAACTGATTTAACATACTGACAATTCCCATACAAAAACACTGTGTAGGGAAATATAAATTATTATTGTTGCAGGAATGAAATCCTCTACTACTAGAATACAATTCAACAATATACAGGGTGATTCACAAACGGTGACCAAAAATGAAGAATGAAGTATTCTTTGGTGAATTTTAAGGGAGTCTTTCGTATAGTTTTTATCTAAGAGGCTTCGCTAAAAAGATACAGGGTGTTAAACTTAAAAATATATTTTTAATTTTTTTAAAATACTTAATTTAAAAGCTAGTAAGTGAAATAATTTGAAATAAGGCACATGTATTTATGTAAACACTATCCAAAATCTGAGGCCTTTTCCTAAAATTTGGATGTTTTAGATTAAAATTCACAAAATACGAATATGAGTATAATAATGAATACGAGTTTTCATTTTTAGTCACCCTTTGTGAATCACCCTGTATTGTTGTGTATGCAGTTGTTATTAAAATACTTCTTCCAAATTTTTATCCACTATAACATCACAAAATTTTAAGCTAATAGATTTAAATCGAACTGTTGGTATTTGCTCATACAATCATCAATTTCATTATATAAGGCTCTGAAAAGGATATTTTCAATGAAGCTCCACTGCCATAATGACTTATTATACGGAACCAAATAGCGTAAATATCAAAGAGCAACTCCCTCTTTATTACAAGCCAAGGGATGACCTACATAACTTACTAGCTTAATAGTTGCTCATAAATTCTATCGTGCATTTCCTCTACAAGTTCATTTTCATACAAGGTTTTATTCAATAAAAAGTTGATATGTTTAAAAAGCAGGCTGGGTGTAATTAACTCGTTTTTCTATAAATTTCAACAAATATTTTACTTTACATTTACTTATAATAAGCAATAATATCCAAATTACCGACTCAGCTGTATATTCTTTCATCAATGCTACTAAAAACCGTTCAATTTGTTTACACTTATCCATTATTAGACGTTAGTATTTTGTTTATTGCGGCATTTGTTTATTTTTGTTTACGTCGCTATTCATTTCGTATAAGGCAAGGATTACTTGTGAATATGATCAAATTTTAATGCATACTAAAATCGGAAAGACTTTGACCCGCATTAGAGTTTATTATACAGATTCGGAAAGTCCCCATTGTACATCGGCGGATACGAGAGAGCGATAAAAGTCATAGAAGTCCATGCGATAGACAAGGATGGTTATATTGAAGATGTTTCATAATCTGAATAGTCACTTCCACTTCTAACCCGAAACGGGCGGTGACTATTCAGATTATGAAACGTCTTCACT